GTTTAGGAAGGCTGTGAAATTAACATGCAGGGAGGTATAAAATGATGACAACATGATTTAACTCCTAAATGGCAGATAATTGAGCAGTGAGGTTGCAGGGGTATGATCTATACACCAAAACTGCTTCATTAAACTAAAGTTGTTTTGGTGACTATAGTGTCACTTTAAAGGATCTCCTTTGCATTCCCACACATCCTTAGGAAAATGAGATGACATCCTCCTAGCTTTCTGTCAGGATGCCATGCGGGCGAGCTATGGAATCCCAGAAGCAGACTGTTGATTCACAGGTAAGATAGCCGGTTCCCCACTAGTATTCTGAGACACGACTGCAGAGTGCAAACATCGAATCAGTTGAAAATTACAGAAGTGAGCCGCAGTGTAGAGGCAATTCAAGTGAATGTAACATGTTAGGAAAAAAAAAAAAAAGACATAAGTAAATTTAGCATTTGAGACAAAAATAGCTAAACTGGAAGGAAAGCATAGCCAACTGATACTTTTTCCAATTCAGCTATTTGGGCATTAAATTAGAAAATCACTTTTAACTGGTACTTTAATAAATAACCTTGTTACCGGTAATTTACTGTGGTGGAAAAGTGTGTTAAACTTCCTGCTTGTAGATTATGTACCATGAACGATCTGGTATTCTGTTACCATGGTTATTTTTTGCATATCTGCTGTATGTATTGTTCCATGTTCTGTCTAATTCTAATTCATGCTAAAAAAATAAAATAAAAGATATGTATGAAAGAAATAATATAGCTATTTTAAAAGGTGTTAAAGTTGTGTAATTGCTGGGCATGTTTTTTTTGGTGAAACAAAATAGACCCAATAGATCAGAATGAGATGATCCTGACTGGATCTCTCTGTGTGCAGCTTCCTTCAGAAACCACACAGAGCGATGCAGCTGGAAAAGTGACAATTTCATGTTTATTTTTTATTACATTCAAAACTAGGGAGTATTTTTTCTTTGATATCTCTTCATAATTCAGGGCATATTGGCGTGAATTCCGTTTATTTTCACACTGACTCCGTGGACTTTGTGAGTTGTACATAAATCCATAAACCTATGCCTGATTGATTCAGATACCCATAATACAATCCATCCAGTTGCCTCAATACTTTGGATGTAAGTGCTTCTGTGAGCCAAGAATCCTGGAATGGCTAGGATTTCCCATCCTAAATTTTCACAACGAAAGATTTGTTCATGGGCCTGGGGCAGTCTTCTTTGTCTCTGTCAAATTTATAAGCCTCTGTAGTTTATTTCTATACAGAACAAATAAGACAGTAGGCACCTACTTCTCACAAATGTCTTACGTTTTTAATTAACATTGTTCTCCTGTATGGGAATGCTGACAAACGAAACATTCTCTCCCCCCAAACTATTAAAGGAGACAAACCAGATAATGTCAGGGCTTTATTAATATACATGTTAGACTAAAATGAAAAGTGGCTAAAAACCCAAGGAAAACAGGGGTTTATTCACTAAATCATTAACTATAAATTTTTTAGGTGAATTAAATTTACACAAACTTGTTTGAGCAGGGTTATCAACCTGTTGTTCTTGTAACATTTTGCAATTGTCTTCTTAATTGTTAAATTTCCTACTTTTATAATATTGTAAAGTGCTGTGGAATAAGTTGGTGCTATATAAAATGCCCTCCCCCTCAAAATATTGCATTTCAATGCATAAACTCCCAAACAAGTTAATGGCAAGTTTAAAGGACCACTATAGTGCCAGGAAAACATACTCGTTTTCCTGGCACTATAGGGCCCTGAGGGTGCCCCCACCCGGCTCTGGAAGGGGGAGAAGCGGTAAAAACGTACCTTTTTCCAGCGCTGGGCGGGGAGCACTCCTCCATTCCTCCCCGTTGGCTGAATGCGCACGCATTCAGCCGGTCGCATAGGAAAGCATTCACAATGCTTTCCTATGGACGCTGGCATGCTCTCACTGTGAAAAATCACAGTGAGAAGCACGCAAGTGCCTCTAGCGGCTGTCAATGAGACAGCCGCTAGAGGCTTTGGGGGAAGGCTTAACCCATTCATAAACATAGCAGTTTCTCTGAAACTGCTATGTTTATAAAAGAATGGGTTAATCCTAGCTGGACCTGGCACCCAGACCACTTCATTAAGCTGAAGTGGTCTGGGTGCCTAGAGTGGTCCTTTTAGCACAGATCTGAATATTTATAGTGTCTTGGAAAGCATCACCAAGTTTTGAATGAAACTCTTCACCTGTGTTATTTCATCTACTCTATGCAACTGATTTATCCACAACGGACTAACATTTGAAACAGAAAAAGCAGAGTACAAATTGAGGTATGGGGCAGTTGAGAAGAAAGCATAGCTCCTAGCACAAGAGGACTTAGGAACACCATTAGAACACATCAACGAATAAAACCACTAAAGTGTAGTGGTTATGGAACCAGACGTTCCTTAGCACACCCCACACATTGTAAGTCGAGAAAACTTTTAGTAATGGTTTGACTTTTTACATGGGCCCTGCATCTGGCAGAACATTAGTAAAAAGTGAAACTGATATGAATTGGTTTAACTACTTACATTTGGGGGCTTCAGGGCACTCCTGGAACTATTACCACTACAGTTCACTGTAGTGATTATGGGGCTTGAGTGTTTCTTTAGGTGTAAATTTGTAGTCCTATATAGTAAGAATTTAGAAGTAGACAGACTTTACCGAATCAAATGCATACCCACCTTGATATTTTAAGATATTGTGACATTGAAACGCTTATGCAAGATTTCAACATTCTAATAGTGAGATTTCAATTGTGGCAAATATCAGAATGTAACAAGACCATACTACAATCAGTACATGTATCTGTGGAAACATTTTTTTGTGTGAGAATATTTTCTGTTTAAATTGGTTATATGAAATTTATTCAAAAGTAAAGTGAAGAAAATGTCTTCCTCATACAGTGTTCAAACCTAACTTCAAGAAAATAAACAGATACTACTGTCACTTTCAAGGCCAAATTATCTGGTCTTTAGGATGGGAAAGTTTTATATGTATTGCTACAATGGGGTCATTAAGCAGGTTAGCATGTATACAAGAAAACATGACACAATTGACATACAATTGTAAATCTGCCAGTCAACATGCTTACTTAACCCCTTAAGGACACATGACATGTCATGATTCAATTTTATTCCAGAAGTTTGGTCCTTAAGGAGTTAAACATAGATGTAATATAGTATGTGGACAAATTTGCCTTTAATCAACAAGAGTTTATATTCCTATTTATTTTTTTAGCTTAACACAAATGTATGTTTACAAGAACACCAAACATTTTGCCACTAAAGGCCTTACAGCTCATCTCTTTCATTATTTAGGGTAGTTTAATACCTGGAGAAATCTACTCCATAATATATTGAAATAAAAAAAAAAAAAAAAAAGAATTTAAAAAAAAATATACGAATGAAAGGTCATGACTTAAAAGCATTCTGAAAAGAAAGGACCCATTGTTTAAAAAAAAAATAAAAAAAAAATAAAAAAAATATATGAAGACACTCAAGTTTATAGGCAAGCAATGTTTTTTCACAGACCTAGCCAGTCTGCAGTCAGTTAATTTGTGACAAACTTTGATACCTGGAATGTATACATGCAAGGGAGGGAAGGGGGAAAAAACCCCAAAATAAAATCTGGAAACCGGATGTAACAATCCAAGTTGGATCCTGAAATGCGCATAGGGCCCTTACGAACATTTTCCAAAAATAGTAAAAGAGGCATATAATTTTATCTTGTATTTTTAATCAAAGTATTTAAAATGTTCCTATGTGTTAAGCCATAACATCTATATCCATTAACCAAGCACTACCAACGTAATACATACATCTAAATGGACGACGCAGCAGTGGTGCAGGAATTTTAACACCAATTGCGATTGCAAAAAAAAAAAAAAAGCGCAACTTTATTTAATGGGGGAGATTAAATATAAACCCTGCCTCCAAATTGCAAATGTACCATTATGCAGAGCCTGATTGTAAGAAATTTACAAATGTTAAAAAAATAAAAATGTGCTTGTGGCTTATTAGGATTTTTTTGTAACAGCCCTGAAATATGCAGGCCCACAAAGAAAAAAAAAATAAATTAAAATCTCCCGCCTAAAAGGAAATGAGAGCAAAACAGACATGAAAATAAAACTCAAACATCTTTGTTTTGAACTTTATTTGACACGATGATTAAGGGAGAGGAACCACATGGGGATAACTATAGGATGACATCTCAAATTCATCATTGTAAATACTCTATTAGTGTTTAAACACACACATCTAACCTTAACTAGTAGCAATACTTGCCTCATTTAACAAAGTATTGTTAATGAGTGGGTGAATATTAAAAATATGAGACTACTATAAGTTTTGTATTTACAATTACAAGGCTGAGTCTGGTCCCTAGGTGCGAAGACAATTTGTCATGATTGTACACCAAACAATGCAGGGTAAAAAGTAGTAATGTCAAGGTCACAGGATGTTAAGCTATAATGGAGTTAATGCTTTCAACTAATAACATTATTGGTGTCTTGAGTGGAGACCAACCACAACATTTAAATGTTATAGCATAAATGTGTTGTCATAGCTGATGTACGTCACAAAGAAAAAAAAAATTATAAGGAAAGTACACGCATTACTTTAATCACAGACACAAGACAGATTTGAGAATTATATAAAATGTTTATGAAGATGTTTATGACACTTACGTATTTAATAAAAAAAGTTAAATTTATGTTACAAAAACAATTACAGTGTTTGCCTGCACTATGACTTTAAAACCTGCCCTATATTTTTCATAAAATGGGCATCTGCATTTACATTGCCATGGAAAGATTGAGACTAATCCCGATTTTCACATTTTCAAGAAGCCTTTTACAAATCAGGACCAGAAAAGCATTGCAGCGAAAATGTAATGAGCAGGACCAGCTTATTTCTACCCTGACATCCTGAAGCAAGAATGCAACAACCATGTAAACACAGATGTGTGTGTGTGTGTGTGTGGTTGTGTAGCTTAAAGTCAGTGTATAAAAACAGGGTAAGTGCATGGATGTTGCTGTATATGCAGACATACATTGGGTTATTCGCTAAACTGTGAATTGTTAGGAAATGAATGAATTTCAGGCCAGAATAGGTAAACTGGAAATATAGAATAGCTGACTTTTCAGGCTTGACTATTTTGGTCTAAAATGTCAAATTCACTTTGAATTCCCCTACAATTCAAACAAGTGAATAATCCTGAGATGTTTGCCAAATTACTAAAATTTAGTTAAAATCCAATTTTTTCATTATTTGACAACATTTTGCAATTATTTAATTCACTACTTTTCGCTATGTAACGAATTACCCTGGCGAAGTTTAGTGAATAAACCCCTAGTGTAAATGAAAACACAGGAACGCAGTAAAAAAACAAAAACCCACTAAAAACACACACACACACAGGCCATAAAATATAGACAAAAAAAAGTGTTTATATCTTTTGTGCACCATATAGAGATATGTATATACACACAGACACTGAAAAAAAAATAAACAGGCAACCCCAAAATATTGTATAAATAAAAAAAATAAAACTAAAAAAAAAAGTCTATAAAAAAAAATGGCAACATAATAAATAGAAGGTGGTAAAAACCCCAAATGCTAATTTTTTTTATATAAAATAAACCTCGACAAGGGCCGTTTAAAGATGTAAAAATCAGAGGTTTTTGTCGCGACAGCCGCGGTCTCCTATCGCGACACGGCCATGCCGCCCGCCCGCCTCCCCCCGATCCCCGGTGACCCCCGTGAGAGCCCCGTGTGAGCCCCGCCGGCGGCCGCCATTATCCTTTGTTTGGCGGCTCTCTGTGTGGCCGCTCGGCCCTGCACACCGGCCGGCAGGCGCTCCGTGCTGACCCCGTGTCAGTCCCCGCAGGGCTGGCTGGGGAATGAGAGATAAAGGGAGCCCGGCTGTGGAGCTCCTCACAGCCCCCGAGCCCCCCGGGGTGTGTGCCGGGCAGAGTGTGGGGAGAGCCCCCGGCGGCTGCGGCCTTCTCCATGTCTGTGCTCCAGCCTCTCCCTCTCCTCCTCCTTCCTCTTACCGGGTTACACTGCCTCTCCTCCGTCACTGCTTTCGTTCGCGGCTGGGATCTCGCTGGGCTTTTTTTATTCTCTTCCCCACCACGTAACACACCGCGTCAAACTACACCTCCGCCGCGTCACTGCCAGCGCTGCTCGCCCTCTCTCCTTCCTCTGCTGCTAAAGCTGCTGAGTGCTCAGGGCTTTTTTTTTTTTTTTTGATTTTTTTTTTTGGACTGAAGCTAGGGCGCGGCGTAGAGCGGCGGGCTCTCTTCTGATAGGCCAACGAGCTGCTCTTCGGGAGCCCACACAGCCAATAGCGAAAGAGCAAAGGCGTGGCTAGCTGGAGGACAGTTAGCACGCATGCGCGCGAGAGACTCGACCTTCTACGGAAATGCACGAGTGGTGGCGAATGGAATTGTTCGTGTTTGGCTCTGTTATGGAGACGGAAATACACGACTCAGTGCTCTCTAAAGAAAAGCGCTTTGTGATGTGTGTATACACGTATATACATATATATATACACGTTATATATGTGTGTACATATGTATACATATATATGCATATATAGACATGTATATATACATACATACATACACACAAATATAGTTATGTATACGTCTTTCTATATATATATATATACACACACACACACACACACACACACACACACATCATAAAGCACTTCTTTATGGAGACCACTGAGTCTTGTATACATATATATACCTCTCTCTACATATAGGTAGATTTCTATGTAAAATATATTTTAAATGTTAAATTGGGAAGAATTGTGGAGACTAGACAAAAGAACTGCAAATGTTATTGTAAAAATAGCCAAATTGGAACTCGGTTAGAATGTTTAATTCCCTATTCAATTCTGAACAATTTGCAGTTCTAGTGAATAGCTTAGTTCTAGTGAATATTAGCTTAACTGGGATAGGTAGGAAACAGAATTGTGAATTTCACATTTAAGATCAAAATGAACATGTTGAAAGATAGCTCAGTTGGAAAATTTAGCAATTTCAGCTATCTTGGCCCCAAAAAATTAATTGGTCAGTTTTCGGCATTGTACAGTTCATATTGAAAGAGGAACTGTCAGTCTGTCACTTCCCCCGGATTTGTAATATTATGTTTATATATCCCTTGTACATGTTGTTGTTTTCAGAATATAAGACTCACTCATACATTTTAAGCAGAAATTCCAGGAATAAAATAAAACCCGTACCATAACTGCAGGAAACCTTAGCTTGTGTGTATAGGGGATGTAGCTTGTGCATGTGGTGCCGGAGACAGCCTTCGGAGTTAAACTGTTCAAGAACGTTCAATTTAAGCAGTATTTATGAACTATAACCTCCAATGTTGCTACCTAAAAACTGAAAATTAAAATGATTAATTAACATCACAATGGACAATAACAGTGGATAGCTACCACTTTAGAACTCACAGATCTAATATCGCTATAATCTGAAATTGTATTAATTCCACTAATAATCATCCGTTAAATCTGGGTATCACAATTATCTGTTATTTCTCGGCACTCATTCATTTGTTTTTTTCACATAAAATAAGTGAAAAGAACGATAAGTAACTATCCATGTCACTCTAAAGGAACACTATAGGGTCAGGAACACAAGCATGTGTTCCTGACCCTATAGTGCAGGCTTCCCCAAACTCCGGCGCGCCAGATGTTGCTGAACTACAACTCCTATGATTCTATGAATCAAATAGATAGGATGAGAATCATGGGAGTTGTAGTTCAGCAACATCTGGAAGGCCGGAGTTTGGGGACGCCTGCTCTAGTGTTTAACCTACCATTTAGGTGGCTTGCACCCCCTTCCACTCCTCCTCTTTTAGCCCCCTTAAAAGGTGCAGGGAGGGAAAGCAATTTACAGTTTGAAAAAATGGAAAATCAAGCCTTATATTTGACACTGTAACTTTCAAAACAATATAAAACCTGTACATGAGGGGTGCTGTTATATTCGGGAGACTTCATGGAACACAAATATAAGTGTTTCAAACCAATAAAATGTATAACAAAAATGATATCATCAGTACATTATACAAAAAATGTCACTTTCACTGGCAATATCATCGCTGTGATATGTTTTACTGTCTCCCGAGTAAAATAGTACCCTTCATATACAGGTTTTAGGGTGTCATGGAAAGTTACAGGGTTAAATATAGTGTTAGCAAATTAAAATCTCTTGACTTTCGGACCGGGTTGTCAGACAGGTCCCTCAAATTGCAATCAATAAAATTACTTAATTATGTAAAAATATTACATAAATATGCACATAGAATTTAAATATATATATATATATATATATACATACATATTTATATATTTGAAGTCTACCTGTATATTTATGAAATTATTTATGTAATTATGTATATATATATATATATATATATATATATATATATATATGATAGGAAAAGCACTCCAATGACTTCATTTTCCTGGCACTATAGTGCCCTGAGGGTGCCCCCACCCTCAGGGACTCCCTCCTGCTGGGCTCTGGGGGGAGGAAGAGGTTAAACTTACCTCTTTCTCCAGCGCCGGGCGGGGAGCTCTCCTCCTCCTCCTCTCCTCCCTCTTCTTCCGTCACCGGCTGGATGCGCATTCAGCCAGTCCATAGGAAAGCATTCACAATGCTTTCCTATGGACGCTGGCGTCTTCTCACTGTAAAAATCACAGTGAGAAGCGCGGAAGCCCTCTAGCGGCTGTCAATGAGACAGCCACTAGAGGCTGGATTAAAGGACCACTCTAGGCACCCAGACCACTTCAGCTTAATGAAGTGGTCTGGGTGCCAGGTCCAGCTAGGGTTAACCCATTGTTTTATAAACATAGCAGTTTCAGAGAAACTGCTATGTTTATCAATGGGTTAAGCCTTCCCCAAAAGCCTCTATCGGCTGTCTCATTGACAGCCGCTAGAGGCGCTTGCGTGCTTCTCACTGTGATTGATAATGCTTTCCTATGCGACCGGCTGAATGCGTGCGCAGCTCTTGCCGCACGTGCATATTCAGCCGATGGGGCGGATCGGAGGCGGAAAGGAGGAGGAGTGCTCCCCGCCCAGCACTGGAAAAAGGTAAGTTTTTACCCCCTTTCCCCCTTCCAGAGCAGGGCGGGAGGGGGACCCTGAGGGTGGGGGCACCCTCAGGGCACTATAGTGCCAGGAAAACGAGTATGTTTTCCTGGCACTATAGTGGTCCTTTAACCCATTTATAAACATAGCAGTTTCTCTGAAACTGCTATGCTTATAAAAAAAAAGGGTTAAACCTAGCAGGACCTGGCACCCAGAGCACTTCATTAAGCTGAAGTGGTCTGGGTGCCTATAGTGGTCCTTTAACTTTATTCAGCAACTGCCACGGATGATCAACGTTTCAGTCCTATGTCAGGACTTTCGTCAGGATACATGTGCAATACAATTGTCACAGTACAAATAACAAAGTAAATCAAATAAAGTACATTGCATACATCTGAGACTTACCCATGACGCGGGTAAATTTGACCCTGCTAAGTGTTTTCAGCAGCTGGGGTTTTTCTGGGGTCTAAGAGGCAGACCACCACGTCGGAGGTAATTCCAGTCTTTAATCTATCTACACATAAACTCAGCAATGCTGAGAATCGACTGCTAATGAAAGGACTATCTTTTTTACCCACGACCTATCCTATCCAGGCCCGGACTGGCCATCGGGCACACCGGTGGCCGTGGCCACTGCCTCCCAGTCTCAGGTGCCAGCGTGCCGGTCCCCCCCTCCCAAGCTAAAGGTAAGAAGGGAGGGGGGATTTAATGCCTGTTTTTGTTTTTTTGTTTGCCCCCCCCACACACACACAATCCATTCTAACATTTATACAGCACTCTCACACCCATCACACACAGCACTCTCTCTCACACATACTGCACCCCTCACATACACACAGAACCCCTCAACACACTGCACCACACACATACACAATACTTCCAAATATATATATACACATATACTACACTCTTAACATATACACTCTGGATCCCCTATACACACACTAGATTCCTTGTAAGCAAACACATACTACACCCCTAAACACACACTACATCACCTATATACACACACACACACACTATAGCCTGGATGCACACACTTGCTATATCCCCAATACACACATTCTCTACAGCCCATAGCCACATATGCATCACATTACACCACTTTACACCACAAACACAACATGACTAAAACCAACCTTATTACACAATACCACACCACAATCAGCTCACTCTACACACACGCAATACCACAAGCAGGCTCCAAACACATGTACAATACTCTTTCCTGGTGTCACGGTCCACGCCGTGACATCCAGTCTGCCAGACGTGGTCGCTCTGGAAACGCCCGATAGGGGATTTGAACTGTGGTTCTTCTGGACCATATCCTGCTGTTCTTCCTCTGAGCCATTTCAGGACTTTGGATAAATCCCTGTTTATTCTTGTATTGCCTGCAGCACCAGGGGGCTGGACTTCACCAAAGGCTCTGATCTGTCAGTAACTCTCCAGCTGAATCTGATCCTAATTAACAGGATATAAAAGCCTGCCTCACCCTGGGAGGGGTGTCAGTTCATTGACTCTGGTTCTCTTGTTTTGTTCCTGTTACTCCGTACCTGCGTTCCAGTGATTCTTGTCTTTCCGGCTTCTGACCTTGGCTTTCCTCCTGGACTACTCTGACCTCTGGCTTCCCTGATTTTGGCTTCCCTTGACCACGCTTCTGCTTATCCCTGCTGTACTGAGTCTTGGAGCACCTTTCCTGGAAAGCCCCCGTGCACAGACTCACAGGCCAGGTGGCGTCTTACCTGGTCACCCTGGTCTGTGTCTACTTTGCATGGGTGAGCGTATAACTCTGCGAGCTGGACTCCCTATCAGGTAAGACTCCGTTACTCCCTATCAGGTAAGACTCCGTTACAGATGAACTGAACATGGAGTCTGCAGAGTTATACAAGTTACTCACCTCCCTGGCCGAGCAAGTCTCCAACCTGTCCCAGAATGTTACAGAATTGCAGAGACATTCATTGGCATTTAAAGGAGCAACGCTTCCAGTCCCGGAACATGTATGCCCAGAACCGTATGTCTTTATGCCTGACAGGTTCGACGGTTCCCATT